TACTAACTCACAACGATACGTAATGTAATATTTTTGGTAGAGTTCTGCAAAATACCTTACTGATTGAGAGCTTAAGAAAATATAGAAATTCTATCGATATTTCTTTTATATATATAACCATCATCATCATCATCATCATCATCATTACAGTCCTTCACAATTCCACTGCTGAACACAGGCCTCCCCCAAGGAACGCCACAAAGCACGGTCCTGAGCCACTTGCAGCCATCGACGTACGTAAATATTTAACTGGTGAAACATTTTCTCAATAGATCAAAAGCACGCCTAAACAGTATAGAGTGCGAGATGGTTTTGGCCCGATCCCTCTAAGTAAGTTACTTTATGGTATGTGCAAACCTAATTTGCACGCACTCTTGAGCCACTTGCAGCCATCGACTTCCTGCATGTCTTACCAGGTCGTCACTCTATCTAGTGGGGGGTCGCCCTACACTTCGCCTACCGGTACGAGGCAACCACTCGAAAAACTTTTTACCGCATCGGTTGTCGGTTCTTCGAGCTCTATGGCCGAGCTATTGCCACTTCAGCTTACTATACTATAATATTGTATAAATATGTATATAATATATAAACCTAATTGTATATAGGCTATTTTTAATAATTAACGAAAGCCAAGCAAAGATTACGAAGTTTAAACAATTAAACATTACGAAATATAAAAGTACGATCGGAAACAACGACCAAATCTAAGGTTTACGTGGCAGTTGTTTTTGGATAACAATAAAAGGAAAGTATTTATAAAAAATAACGGAGATTGGTCGATTTACCAATTTACTTTTTTTTTGTTTATAGGATCGAGTGACAAACGAGCACACAGTCCACCTGATGGTAAGTGGTTATTGTGGCCCATAGACATATACATCTATCCTCGATTACGAATCAAATGCAGATGCGTTGTTACCCCTGAGGACCAAGATGGAATGCCTCGTTTTCCAGTAAAAAGGGTCTCCGGTTCTCTACACTCACCATACGAAATATAGCAGCGTTAAGCTGCTATTTCACGCTGGTATTCTTCATGCTACAACTATACCAGTAATATTACTGCAGCATGGCTCTACCGATACTCTAAATAAATCTAAATCATAAAGTGGCAACATAACATATATTGAAAGTTCCATAATTTACAATAGCCCATGGAAATTATATATGTATTAATGTCGTATAGAGTGTAATATAGGAAAGGGCTTTAATGAGACACGAGTTGATCCGTCTAGGAATTTAATTAGACTGTTTTTCTTTTGTTACAAAATAATACTTACTAATTTATCAATTCTGAAAACGGATACGTGATCAGAGACGACACGGATCTTCAGATATCGATTTTGAAAGCAATCGACCAGTACCTAAGTAAAAATAAATATAATATTTAACTGAGAACGACATCCGCAACTGGCTGCATAGCGAAACTCGCTTAAAGCTCTTGTAGCGAATTGTGTATGTGTACCTACGTGTGTCTATACGGACGTTTGTAAGGTGTTGAGTTACGGCTTTAACTATATATGTTAACTGTGGTGCTTCTACATACGTAAAACACTGCCCTCGTGAGGAGCCAATGCTGGCTGCAGCATCAGGTTATTTCTATCATTTTTGTGTATTGTCATCACTCATCACAACTGAACTAACATACAAAATTTCAAAGTCGTTAGTTTAGACGAAGTGGTTCAAATTTCGTTTGCAAGATTTAAATTAAACTTATCATGTGAAGTTAAATAAAATCTCGTAAAAAAGCAAAGAATTCTGTAGGACACATCTGCAGCGCACATGTTTCTGGCGCGGAATATTTTTTTACCTCCGCTACAATGGTGTGCTTTAGTAGCCATTATAAAGTACCTACTTTATGAACATTCATATACCCATGTACGTAGGTATCACAATTTTAAATTTTAGTACATAATTGTAATTTCAGCGTAATATTTTTGTAGTACCTATATTATATTAAAACATTTTTATTTGTTATGAATTATGAGTGTCAAAGGAGCACACAGTCCAACAGTCCACAGATCGGAAAAAGTTAAAGTTACAGCCGCATATACGCATACCCAGGAAATAGAGTGAATGGGGCTCTACACGCTATTATGAGGAGTCAGAATGTGTCAACTAAGGCACGTATGGCAATTCATAATGCTGTGTTAGTCCCTACTTTAATGTATGGTAGTGAAAGTTGGGTCAGAAGAAGCATGAGAGTAGAATAAATGCTGTAGAAATGCGCTCGTAAAGGAGTATGCTAGGGCTGAATCTGAATGACAGGGTGAGAAATAGTGTGATAAGAGAAAAGTATGGTTTGCAAGATGACGTTGTGACAAGGATTAAGAAAGGAATGCTTCGGTGGTTTGGTCATGTAGAAAAAATGAACGAGGAAAAAGTGACAAAGCAAAGAGCAATGGCAGAAAAATAGTTGACAAAAATTATAGCGTCTAGAAATAAGTTATATATAAAATGAGTTTTATTATTTTTCTATGATTTTTCAAATAAAAATGTATTTTAATTGAAGCCACAGAAAAAAACAAACATTTTTGGGAATATCAAATGACTTAAATCATTTTACTCTATTGAAATGTTGCCATTTAGTATAGGTATTTATACTATTTTCGTATACACTTTGTAAGACTACTAACACAACACACAAAATATTTTTATATGAAGTTATTATTAGTAATAACTGTACTATCTGTAATAATAAAAATGAAAGTTATATGGCTGAGAATAACTCTCTTACAAAGAATTTCCTATAATAATACATTATCACAATCATAGTACTCTGTAACAATTACATTTAATGTTATGACAACACTAGCTAAAATAAAATGTCACTGTTTTTTTTACTGGTTTTACGGCTCTGGGTTCTAGCCCTTCTGAGAATGTCACTATGATACAAAAGACCTGGAGCCATGCCAGAAATATACATTTATAGTATGCAAATATATAATAGAGATACAATAATCTAAAAACTCTCAATTATGTATTATGTATTAAGCTAACATCAAACAACCACAGGAAACAGCAAGTGACATAGGACATAACCTAAAATGTTCAAATGTAAATATCTTTTTTTTGACGCCTTCTCAGTACAAAGTTCTTTGACAGAGTTATTAAGGGACTGAGGCTTAACATTTTAAGATATTTTTGGTATATAGACGCTACCATTTCTTCTCAACTAATTTTATGTATGAAAGTCTGCCATTGTTCTTTATGTTGCGGAAGTGAACGGCAGGGTCGGGAAGGGACGCCCTAGACGAAGGTTTATCGACCAAATCGGCGATACATTAAAAATGGGCCAGATTAGGAGTACCCTTAACCGACGAGCGTGTATGCGTAGGTATATGGATGTAAAAGAGGCGAGAGAGGTGTGTCAGGATCGCGCCAAATGGAAGTCTGTAGTCTCTGCCTACCCCTCTGGGTGACAGGCGTGAGTGTTTATGTATGTATTATGTATGTATAAGTCCCACTGCTGGGCACAAAGCTCATCTCATTTCTGAGAGGGTTTTAGGACAAGGAAATGTCCGCAATGCATGTTGGCGAACTTCACATGTCTATTTGTATATTTTGTCTAACCGACGTTCACGGTTGACGGCTTGCCGACAAAACTATTGTAGGTAGTAACTAACTGTAACTATTGTACTTTTTCTAAGCATTACCACAGAATAAATAATAAGTATGGCATTACGTTGATCATTATTACAAAACATATTTTTTGTTTACCGTAGTTTAGGTTTAAGTATAATATTATAATAGAACATTATTTTACATCATTTAATTATGACTTGTGAGATTAGATTATAATGTAAAAAACTATTGGTACATCCAATTGTACATGCCCTAAGCGCATTAAAGAAATTACGTATAACATGATTATAGGGATTTTTTTTTAAATACACACAAGTTTTCATTAATAACCTTTTATACTTACAATTTTCCGATAATTTTATGTCAAACTTCAATTTAAAAAAAAAAGAGTTCTACCTAGTACTTTGGATAGGCTAGAATGAATTAATGATAAAAAATACATATATAAACATACTAGCTGCGCCTCGCGGTTTCACCCGCGTATATCACGCGTCGGAGCCGCGTGACATGACACCTCTCTTAAAGTTAAGTTACAGCCTACAATGAGTTCAAAAGTTTCTGACCTGAACTAGAAAATGAAGGATAAATCTCAAACCACTATAATTATTTTTAGATATTATCTCCCTTAATTTCAATACACTTTTCACAACACTTTACTAACTTTTCTATACCCTTAAAAATCTGCTGACTTCACCTCATCGTCAGTGTCAAATTTTTTCTCCGTAAGTCGGATTTAAATTTTAAGTATAAATAATAGGGGCCAAGTCAGGACTACATGGAGGATGGTCGAGTTTAGTAAAACTACATTCTTTAATGGCAGCCTTGGGAACACCCGATGTGTGGAGGGTTGTTGCACAACATTTCTGCGTGATTCGCGTCTACTCCGTTGCTGTCCAAGCGGCGAACATCAAAAGCTTTGGTGGTTTGCATGATGCAAAAATCAAAATATCAAGATTTTAGTTAACCAGTTGCAATCGTCAGTCACCACACTAGGCAGGTTATTACATTTCAGCCATAACCTTGAAGGTATCAAAACTGACATTAAAAACAATCGTCTAAAGAACGTCTAGGACGATGCTGCCACGCTTACGAGCCCGTCAATTCTGGCTCTAGACAAGTGTCAATCGCGAATGATTCGTTCATTTGACCCGGGAGCCCGGGACGCATCAAGTATTGACGATCACAATGAAATTTTTTGAATGTTCCGGATCAAACGATTGAAATGAACTACGACCAAAGAGTACAGTAATGTCCGACGACCGCCATTATCGAGCGAGTCTCACCGATCACAGAGTACTGAAACTAGAAATGATCCCTTTGAAAGATCGACCCGAATGACCCAGTTCGTAAGACGAATCAATACTTGAATGATCGGGTCACTTGAAATGAATTAATGACACACATCTGGTTGATTTTGGTTAACGCATTGGCAGGCCGTCGAAGTGTGTATATAGTACAATATGGTGCAAGCAGCGCAGGAGCAGGAGCAGGAGCACGTACCTGCGCTGCGCGCGGTGCGCGGCGCGCAGCAAGCCGGCCGCGGCGCGCAGGCGCGCCTCCCACGCTGCGCACGCGTCGCTGCCCCCGCTCACCGACGACACCACCCATTGCTTCTCCTCGATCTAAAAATTATGCTCACTTATGGATGCTATACAGTATACACGATCCAGTTTACCATCAAGTTTCGCGTCCGGTAAACTTGACGGTGTATGACTATCAGTATGCATGACAAGTCTACTTGAAGTAAAAATTGAATTTCGATTCTGCCGACATGATAATGCTTGCAGCGTCATATAAACTTGTGTATGAGCGGTCAAGTATGCATGACAGTAGTCTCCCACGAGACGCCATGGTTTCTACTGGTGCGGCATCACTCAAACTTGACGGCGAACTTGAACGTGAGTGGTCTATAGGGATACACTGCAAACTGGACGCCGCTTCAATCACGCTGCAAACTTGACGGTAAACTGAATCGTGTATGGCATCCATTATTGTACGTATACAAGAGTGCAAGCGGTGGACATAGGGTTACCAACCCTAGAATATTATATGAAACCGACATCTAGTAAATTTTAAACATATTTCGAAGACATATAAATTCCGCCAACACACATTGGGGCCACGTGTTGGATAATTCTTTGCCCTCAAATGCTCTTGCTAATGAGAGAAGGCCTGTGCCCAGAACAAGAACGCTATTACTAAGAATACTAGGAGTCATGACCCGAATACCATAATCCTTAAAAAAATATATCGGCGACCGAGAAATTTCCATATGTTTTAGCAATCCAACCCTGCTAGGGAAATCCGTTTAAGTGCTATAGCTGTACATGTTTGTCTTTTTTTAATGCTATATCATATAGATATACATTACGTTTGTCACTTTTTAGTGCCGCTTTTTCGTTTCATCGAATTACAAAACACAACGATTCTAAAGAAGGTTTTACTTCAAAAAGCAAATCGCAACAATGGGAAGTAAAATGATAAAAACTCAATTTATCTACGAAAAACATTTAATAACCAAGATAAATACCTTATTCAAAATATCTTTGAAATCTTTAACAATGGGGATAGGGCGCCTAGCCTTATCGTTATGGTAGACGATGGTCAGGCGCGCTCCAGCGTACCACAGTTCCAGTTCATTGAGTGCACTCCTGATGGCGGACTCGTTGGAAGCCAATGCACAGATTTTCTAAAAAAGATAATATTGTAATGACTTTTCCACATTTATACTACATAATATACCCATAGTAGTATAGAACAAAGGTAAATATAAGGTTTTACACAGTACTTAGATCTTTAACGAAAAGAGTTGCAGTAGTTTGTTAAGGTATTAATAATGCCATAGTTCAACAGGACTGGTTTGTAAAATAATTTGTATACTTGTGGTAATTTATTATATTTGTGTGGTGTTGTATATTTTAGAAAAAATAAGTATACTAATCACTTACCAAGTACTTACTAAGTACTACTTATTTTTATTTGATAATTTAGTGAGATAGTTATAGACAGTCCCCATCAATGCTTCATCAAGACAAGACAGATCAAATCTGCTCGCATAAGAATATATTTGTAGTGTAGCCTACACGACATCAATCTATACTTATATTAAATGTGAAATTTTGCATAGTTAAAGTTTACATGGATACGCAGTGCAGAAAGCTAAAATTTATAAATTGTTTACGTAAATACTGCCAGTATCAATTGTCTAACACATAATAGTCTATGGTTAAACAATCGCACAGAGTAGAGATTACCGCCAAAGAATTTTAAAATGCTGTCAACAAAATAATTACTGACAAATTGACTGAGTGAGCTGTGAAATTTGTGTGATTTCTAATATTCCTTTTCCAATAGTCTGTGAAGTGTAAGTAGTGTAGTTGTACCACTTCTAGACCACCTGAGTCAGACGTGGTTCAACGACGTTCGTCGACACCCGATCCTAAAAAAAAAAAAAAAAAGGTTTTGGCATGCTCTGATCACGAATCCGCGGTCCATTTTTGTGTAGAATGCACGGTTCCGGAGATGTGTAGATCAATTAGCTAATATCTAATTGATATCCGGTAAGGGCCTCCACCGTCATTAGCGTCCCATTGTTCCTATTTCTATTGTTCTATTGTTCATTAATCACCTTCATTGCAGCGTGTGCGTCGACTATATCAGTGCTATTGTATTATACTTCTTTGTTCCTAATTATACAACGCTAATCTGAATCATCAATAAAACACATTACATAATTTTGTTACAATTTTTATTTATAAAATACAAAATCTTATTACTTATTATCTATAAAATAGGAGCGAAACATCTCATCCACTAAAATATCGTTGTACAGTGTGTTCCTTGTAAATATACTCGTAAAACTATGTATTGAACATCCCTGAAACTTATATAGCAAATACATTAAGCAATATTCGCCACAAACTGAAGTCCACTCATTCTGAATCCTATCAACATTCCAGTTCCATCTTTTACAATTCCTTTTTAAAAACTCTAGATGATATCGTACAGGTGATCGTCCATATGAATCAAAATATTGACCGACGTCATTCGTATCGATATATAAAGCTACCCAATGTGACCCTGGTTTATCATCTGTATCCAAATTACATATTATATACGTTGGTACGTGGGTATACATAGGCAGTCTATTAGCTGCATAAACATTATTTTCTAGACTGGGGGTGAATCTTTTTCAGATGTTGTTGTACATCTAGTGTATCCATGATATTACTGCTATTAGTAGATTATTACAGTACCAATCTACTCAATGAATAACATAGGAATGGTCAATTATAGTGATTTCTAAATATTAAATTGCATTTTTGTGTTATACAAATCGTACTTGAGTCATTGATCACCAAACAAAACACAATACGAAGAAATGTTGAGATAGGCAACGGAAATGTGAGATAAACTGATATGTTTCTAAATATTAAATTGCATTTTTGTGTTATACAAATCGTACTTGAGTCATTGATCACCAAACAAAACACAATACGAAGAAATGTTGAGATAGACAACGGAAATGTGAGATAAACTGGTTGACGCATAAAGTAATTATCAACTCATTACGGAAATACTTTAGATTAGAATTTTTACGTACTGGTGGTATATAAGACCAACAGACGCAGTCATCGAGTTAGTGTACGGTCGTTTGACTACAGTGGATCTATCAATAGTACATTTGTGTTACTTCAATACACCAAAGGCTATGGATCTAAGTGTTTATTCTATTGACTAAATTACTTTTTTTCTGTTATTTTCATGTGTGTGTATTATTTTATTTAAATATTGTGTATGTATATGATTAAGCCGTGGTAACTCAGATGGTTAGCGCTAGCTGTAAATTTCACAGTACGCGACCCGGGTTCGATCCCCGCCAGCACCAATTAAATTGTTAATCGCAATTTTAAGTGCTTATTACCACGTGTTTGGTGGTGAAGGAAAACATCGTGAGGAAACCTGCATGTCTGAGAAAATTTCGAAGGCATGTGAAGTTCGCCAACACACATTGAGGGAGCGCGGCGGACATTTCCTTGCTCCAAAACCCTCTCAGAAATGAGAGGAGGCCTATGTTCAGCAGTGGACTTTAATAGGCTGTAACTTTAACTTTTTTAACTTTTATGATTAAGTGTTAACAAATTGATATTAACATGATAACTGTGTTGTTGCAGAAATCATTGAGCTTCGATGAAGATACCTATAAACAGTATTACTACTCGCCACTCTCCCCTCAAGAAGAGACTGATAACCTCGTCATTAATAATAACACATGCGATGGTGGAAAAAGAAAATCGCAATCGATTGATCATTTTTTTGAAGCTGACTCAAAAATAAAAAAAGAGGAAGGGAAAACTTCAGTGAAGTGTGCACCAGTGCTTTTTTCTCCACAATCATGGAAGAGAATACGGAACTATTCAATAGCGAATTAAATCAGGAGTTGTCTAAAGTTTGTGAAGAAATGGAGAGGGGTCAACTGTTCGATTCGTCATACGATGATGAGTTGTATCATCACTGTGCAATGGTTGAAACACAGTTTAAGTATGTAAAATAAACATTCATTTCGATCATAATTTACATATTGTCTTATACAGTTTTTAATAAATTTAAACATTTTAGCAGTCAACCACTACAACTTGGAAGAGGAACGAAGCGAACGTGCAGCAAAGAATCCAAGATCATCAAAAAACCAACAACGGAAGCAGAAGCGCATACCTCTGCAGGGAACAGTATCAGTAACGATGATCAAGTGGAATGTCCAACGTGCCATATATTTATCAAGAAACGGTATTTAGCTAATCATTTTAAAAGTAATGTTCATAAAAATAATCTTTTAAATTCACATAATTCTTTATCAAACGTTAGTGTTATTGAATCTGCTTTTGGAAATAGGATTTTAACTTATAAAATCAAGAGTAGAGTAGATCGTTCGACATGGGTAAATTTTGAAACTCCTGAACTATTTTTAAATTCTATTAAAGATGATATTTTATTTTTATTACAAGAGTGTATTCATCAACACATAATTTTTAAGGTAAACTTCATATTGCATGCTGATTTTGTTCAACAAACTAAAGATATTCATGATACGTTCGATTTTCAAACGCTTAACTATATTATTTGTCAAGGAGATGACTTAAATATTTTTCTTTCATCTTTAAATGATACAATTACTACTAAAATTAGTGCTTTCGAAAAAAAAGATAGTGGATGGAGTCTAAAAAACATAAAATCTATAGACATGAATGTTAATAAATTTAACCCCCTACGCGGTACTTTATACATAGATCTTCCTCGTGACATAAAATTAAAAAAGGCTGTTATAAATGTAAAAAACAAGGATTATTTTTGTTTTAAATGGGCGTTACTCTCGGCGTTATATCCTGTAAACAAACACACCGATCGGGTATCATCGTACGTTAAACATGCAAATAAACTTAAATTTGATGGTATTTCCTTTCCGGTTAAAATTTCTGACATAGCAAAAGTAGAGAAATTAAATGATATTAGTATTAATGTTTTTGGGTTAGAATATAATAAAGAAAAACGATGTAATTCTATAGTAGGTCCATTATTTTTAACAAAGTGTCGTAAAGATAGACATATCAATTTATTATTTTTTTCCAAGGATACAAAAAATCATTATTGCTATATAAAAAATTTATCGCGGTTAGTTAGTAAACAAATTTCAAAAGACGGTCACATCATGTACATTTGTGAAGCATGTCTACTTCGTTTTCCATCTCAGGAAAGGTTAAATAACCATGAACAATACGATTGTGCCCACATTTGTACAGTATTTCCAAACAGTGAAACTTTAAAAAAAAAGAATTGGTTTGGTCAACCTATTTCAAATGATAAAATTAAATTTGATAGTTATGAAAAAAAGCTAAAGATACCATTCGTAGTTTATGCTGATTTTGAAGCATTTTTAAAACCAATAGAATCATGTTCTAATGATCCTTCCAAACCTTTCACTCGTAATATTCAGAAACATGAAGTACATAGTTTTGGATATTATATAAAATGTTCATATGATGATAAATTATCAAAATATGTAACATATTGCGGACCCAACTGTGCACAAGTGTTTATGGAAAGTTTATCTAACAATCTAAAAGAAATAAATAGACTTCAAAAATATCCACCACTTCCGCTAACAAATGAAGACAAAAACCAAATTTCAAATGCAACCATTTGTCATATTTGTGAAACTGAGTTGGCAAAACATTTTTATGATTTTGATTGGTACACTGGTAGTTTTATAGGTGTTGCTCATGAATCATGTTGTTCGAAGATCAGAACACCTCGTTATATACCAATATTTTTACACAACCTTAGTCACTATGATGCTCATTTTATTGTTCACGCGTTAAACTTTTGTGATGGTGAAGTCGAAGTTATCCCTCAAAATAAAGAAAAATATATATCCTTTTCCAAAAAATTAAAAGTGAATAACCACGAAATTATATTGAGATTCTTAGATTCATTTAAGTTTTTATCGTGTAAATTAGAAGAATTGGCCAAAAATCTCAGTAATGATCAATTTCAAGAATTACGTAGAAATTACCCTAATGATGAAGATTTCTTTCGTTTAAAACGGAAAGGTGTTTATCCATATGAACTTATGACTAATTATGATAGTTTAAGTCTAACATCGCTCCCTGAACAAAAATGTTTTTATAGTTCACTCACAGATTCACATATTTCAAATGATGATTACAATCATGCTAAAGATGTTTGGGAACATTTTGGGTGTTGTAATATGCTAGATTATTCAAACCTGTATTTAAAAACAGACGTTTTACTTTTATCCGGTGTATTTGAAAACTTTAGAAAGTTATGTATTAATACATATGATTTAGACCCTGTCCATTATTACACAGCACCCGGTTTAAGTTGGGATGCAATGTTAAAATATACAAAAATAGAATTAGAACTTTTAACAGATTATGAGAAAATTGCATTTATTAGATCAGGTATCAGAGGTGGTGTATCTCAATGTAGTAATCGTTATGCTAGAGCTAATAACAAATACATGGAGGATTATGACACAGGGAAACCAAATTCATATATCACATATTTTGATGCCAACAATTTATATGGTTGGGCTATGTCTCAATATCTTCCTACTGGTGGATTCGAATGGGTAAATCCAAATACAGAATTTAATGTGTCTAAGACATCAGACTTCGGTTTTATTTTAGAAGTTGATTTGGAATATCCAGATGAACTTCATGATTTACATTCGGACTTTCCTTTATGCCCAGAAAACATTTGTGTAGGCAATATTAATGAGAATAAACTAGTACCAAATTTAAATAATAAAGATAAATATGTAATTCATTACAGAAATTTAAAGCAGTGCATAGAAATGGGGGTTAAATTAACTAAAATTCATAGAGTTTTAAAATTTAAACAGTCTCCCTGGTTGAAGATGT